CTGGGGCCGCCCTGAACCCCGCGCCCCAGACTGATTTTTAGGAAGGGCCCCTCGTAGCCAGAGGCCAGTGGAGCTCCCGGTGGGACCGCGGTCCCCAGGCTTCGCGCGCGGCACTGCACGAGCTGGGCGCCCCCAGAGTTTTGGTCCTTTGGGGTTCTCCGAGTCCTCACGTGTGTAGAGTTGTGCTGGTTCCTGTCGCGTGCTCCTGGCGCTGGTTCCTTGCCCTGCTGGGGATGGGGGACAAAGATGAAATCCTGGGACAGAAACGTAGTGGAGCGACTCCCTGGACGGGATGTTAATAGCACAAATGGCACATCCGTAGATCATCATAAGGCTTGGCCTACGTTTTGAGCTTCACGATATAGTTCTTCTACAGCCTAGTCAAAGAAAACAACATTCCTTTTGAATCTGCAAGTTTTGCCAACTAGGAACTCCCAAAATTAAAAAATAGTAATAATTCTAATAAATTCATGCTTATCCTTGAACAAGAGTGTAAACACTCTTGTTTACATACAGTGTTGCAATCCATGAGTATTTGAAGATTGGCAGAACGGGAGGACTTGCACCCAGGAATTTTTTGGTGACCTGGAATTTACACCCTACTGTAATTTAGAGGAAAAATGAGAGAGAAAGTAATTTTAGGCCGGGCGCAGTGGCTCCTGCCTGTAATCCTAGCCCTTTGGGAGGCGGAGGTGGGTGGATCGCTTGAGCCCAGGAGTTTGAGACCAGCCTGGCCAACGTGGCGAAATCCCATTTCTACTAAAATACAAAAATTAGCTGGGCATGGTGGCACACATCTGTAATCCCAGCTACTTGGGAGGCTGAAGCACAAGAATCGCTTGAACCTGGGAGGCGGAGGTTGCAATGAGCCTAGATCGTGCCACTGCACTCCAGCCTAGGCGACCAAGCGAAACTCGGTCTCAAAAAGAAAAAAAAAAGAAACTAATTTTAGTGGGAAATGTGCATTAGAAATGAAAGTAACAGATCACAAACTTTCGCCCATGTCTTTGACCTATTTTTTTAAAAACATGTATTTGTCCTGGGCCTAAGCTGTAATCAGCCTTTTGCCACATATTTTACCTGATCATTATTGATGCTCTCTACTTAAAAACCTCGGGTGAAGAGAATTAAAATTGTGAAGTCAGCAGTGTTTACCTTGGAACTTTGTACTTTTTTTCTTTTTAACTTTTCAAAAGGTCAAATCAGAAAGGGAATATTTTTATTGTTAATGATACCAGGAATCATCTTAATTCATCAACACCTCCTGTGAATTTGTGTTAACCTTTGTAAGACTACTTCTATTTTTAAAAGAACCAAGTGGTTCTCTAGTGATGAGAATTTCAAACACTGTGATGCTAGAGTGAGGCAGATGTGTTGGAGCCAAAGGGCATTGCCAGCATTCCTCAGATGACACCACAAACTCATTTCAGTATTGTGATCAGAAGGCTGGTCACACTGCACATTCCCGGGCCAGTATGTTATTCTTTCTTAAAAAGAAAAAACATGTTGATGTTGAATAGTTGAAAGTACTAGAGTCCAGCTTACTTTTCCCCAGTGTATTTGTGCATGTTAGAGTACTGATGCTTCACTAGGTTGCTTTACTTTTATATTCTAGTTTTTGTTTCTGTAGTAAAACGTAATGTAGACTTCAAAGGTATACCTTGTGAATTATTAACTGTAAACTGTGCCTCCAATAGAATTTGAAAGCTGGATAATTAGTGGAAACAAAAACTAGGTAATAATTTAGAGACTTCAGTAAACATTTTCTTTCGTGTACAATGACAAATAACATATTCCTCAACCTTGAAGTGCTTTACAGAAAAATCTGAAACAACAAAATACTTTGCTATACATTTTGACTTTTAAAAAATAATTATCGTTATAGAAAAGGGAGTGATTAAAATATTCTAAAATTTATTGCACTGATGATTGTACAACTCTGAATACAGTAAAAAACTGAATTGTATGCATTAAATGGGTGAATTTTATGTTATGTGAACTATATCTTAGTAAAACTTGTACCAAAAATCATAGAAAATCATTAGAAGACCTTAAAGGTAAATGGCAGTGATACTTAACTGCTGAAAGTTTGCAAACTAACTTGTTTGTATGATCCTATTCTAAAACAATATAAAATATTGTGTGCTGAC